CCCCCCCCCCCTTAGAAATGAATTCCCACTTAGAATGGGTCTTTTGACGGCTTGTCCACGTAACGGTATACCTTGGTGGGCGAAGTCGACCTACCAAATTGATCGAAATCAATATGATCATCATATAGAGCGATGTCGATAACATACAGAAATATATCTTTTATTTACCTGGTTACGATATTTCTTTAAAAAATACATGCTACAAATGATATGTGTCGTAATAGCACTAAAGGCGAATATTTATGATAGATTTTTATTTTAGAATTTTTTATATAAACAAACATATCTTGTCCGAAACCTTTCATACCAACTAGTAATGCTTTCTATGCATTACTCATTTATAACGAGAAGACTACGTTTCGTCACATCTACAGCAGAATTATTTATGTTTGTAAAGGTAATACATTGGTGAAAGTGATTCCGTAACGAAAATTCCTTTTAATTCATTTTTAGCCAAGAACACTAAGTTTTTCATTCTAAAAAGCAGTGCTCTAAATACAATCTTTAGTGCTCTATCCAACCAATGGATTGCCTGTTTTTATAAACATTCTAGTTGTGCAAGCAGTCCGTTACGGAATCACCCTCAAATGATCAAGTTTTCTACATAAAATTTGAAAACATTAACTTTCTCTGAAGTTATGCACTAATGAGACGTCAAGATGTGTACACGTGATTGTAGAGTCAGATTAGTTAATTTAGGAGTTGTGCTATGGTAGTTTTCAGCTAAATTTATTACGTGGATTCAAGAAGCCATTTGAGAGGCATTGTGCATAAGTGATGACCATTCCCCAGCAGAATCTTGCTTGGTCAATGTCACCGATTGGGCCGATATTTTCACAGTAAGTAGGTCTAGTAAACTTGGGAAGAAACTAAAAATTTCATTTCAAATGAGAGAGTCATTATGGAGATACTGAAATTAAATTGGAGATATTTTGACATGTATGTAGTGTTTTTCTAGAGAATGCTTTTCAATAAACTTTGATCTCCTATAAAAACAATAAGACCTATAATGAGAATTTCTTTAGAACAGATACTTTCGATCATTAGATATTATGGCATATAGTTCTGACTCACAAGTGATCTACCACCAAGAAACATTCTCTTTTAAATATGTGTGAAAAATTAGATGAATCGAATATCACTTTATCAGATTTGGAAAAGTACATCGGCTTTCATGTGTCACAATAATGTCGAAATGAGTCGAAATTTGGACTGTGGAAGTTTATCGAGATGCCGGTTCATCTGAATCACATCAATCTAGCATCTGGGAATAAATCGTTAATCTATACTATTAGAGTCATTTGTGTTCTTAGTCTTGTTCAAAAAAACTTTGTATATCGAACTGGACATGCCTTCTATAAATGGCATATGGCATCTATCAAAAAATATTAGTTGATACGATCCTTTCAATACCATAAAATGATAGGATATGGTCCGTAGTACCTATGATAAAAAATCTGTATTATAACTGTTGTTGTTATTTAGAAAACCAAAGTTTACTGGAAAGTATTGCTCTGAAAATCACTATAAATGTGTCTAAGTATCTCTAATTGTGACGTCTACATCTCTATAATGACTCACTCGTTTAGGGTGAAATTTGTAGTTTCTTTCTATGTTTACTAAGTCTACCTACTATGAGAATATCAATCAGACTGATGACGTCGAATGAGTAAACTTTTACTAGAATTGGCTGTGCCTAGGATGCAATACTTCTATAAATGTCAATATTTTATATATAACTGACCTTTTCGAAAAGACCTTTTACTTTATGAGAAAGATGAACTTTTCAAATTGCTTTTTCATGCATGACATCAGATTGTTTATTCTGTGGAACTATCTTTATATTTCTGAAGAAAACAAATGTTGAAAAACATCATCATTTCTCAAACGTGATTCCGTAACGAAAAATGTGATTCCGTAACGACACCTTTTTCTACCCAGAAAATTAGCGATACGTATTTTGTAAATTATATTTGTTTTTCTATATAACTAGGCTTCTGAGCTACAATTGTCATAGAGAGAGTTTTGCTCCTGCGTTTATAGTTGAGCTAAGTTTTTTAATTCTTTGAGCGGCACTCAAAATCAGAGTCCATTTTGTGTGATTCCGTAACGTACATATCTGTCAATCATAAAACCAGCATTAAAACTTGAAATCTTATGAAACTTTCAGCATGTGTAGGGGAAGTCAACTTACATAGTCTATGAACATTTCCAGCCCTATACTATTTCATTTCGTCCAGATATTGTAAAAACATGCGAAAAAAACGTGATTCCGTAACGCTTGGACAAGCCGTTGAGCTGAAAATTTCAGGGATGAGTGATCCTGAAGAGATATGCTACTGGTAAAAATTTCAGCCCAATTGGTCTTACTAGATCAGAGTTTCAGCTGAATCATAGGTCATTTTTGACCTTCAGGAGAATCGATATAACTTCGTCATAACACGAGGTATCGAGCTCGGTCTGGTGTCAAATTAAAGCTAATGTCAGTACGGAATTTTTGTCCGAACAGAATTTTTAAATTCAATCTTATTGATTTCTTATGACCATTTTAGTGGAAGGGTCTAAAAATTAGTATAAAAAATGGTGATCGAACGACAGTAAATTCCACTTTTTTCATTGCAGGAATCGACTTTAAAAAAACTGGTCGGACACAAGTTTAGTCTCATTGAGACCTTTAAAACAAAAAAAAAATATTGTATATAGCGCGATCTGAGAGGAAGTTATTTCAATTTTCCTGTCTGGAAACCATGTTTTGAGAAAACCTCTAAAGAAGTTTTAGAAATGGATTTTTCATTCAAATGCAGGAAATAATGATATAATGATAATATTTATGTGGAATTTTTGAAAGCACGCAATAGATAGCGTAAGCTAGCACTACAGGTCGTACTATATGATAGAAGAATGTTGATTCAATGCTGATAGAAGTAAAAAAGTAGTCTTCCTAAAAATAACAAAAACCGTGAAAATCTCTCCGAAAACCGGATAGTGAGGTGGAAATCTCCTACAAAAGTCTGTAAAAATTTGACCTTTTTTTAAAAATTTATATATATTCTAAAAGAGGAAACTTCGCTGCATCTTTCTATGATAAAAACTCGACTTCAATTACTTTACCACAAGATGGCTTTTCTGAGGGGGGAGGTGTGGAGCTTAATAAGAGTCCATACCTACATCCACACCCAAAATTTCTTTTCTCTCTTTTCTTCTTCTTTCAACGAAATTTTGTTTATTTCTCACAAGAAGTTGATCGATGAGTTAAATTATAAATAAAATTATTGAAAAGACATCAATGTATAAATTGAATTAAACAATAAGAAAAAAAGGGATGAATAATTTTACAAAGTACCATTTCAATATTTTGTTTTTTCGAGTATATTTTCAAAGAAAGTACTTTGGAAAATCTTATATAGAATATCTTGCATTAAAAATTTACACCAATCGATTAGCTCATAAATAATAAATTGTCTTGTCAATGATGATTAAAATAGTTGTATTTATATTCACATTTTAAAAGTCGGAGAATTGATTATTATTAATCAGTTTTCTAGTTTCATAAGTAACAAATGAAAGAGTGTTGATGAAGTATTAGTAAAAGAAGCATATACTACAGACATAATGGTACAATTGTTCATCCTGAACGAGAAAAAAAATTACGATGTTTTGACCCTATTGAGAAAAACCAAATCGTTCAAAAATACATGAGATGTCTAATTCGACTTATAATATAAACTGACTTTCAGAAGTTTGTTATCATTCCGAAAATAAATAATAAAATAAAATAAAAATGCATCGATTTACATCATCCATTATAAAAATGATAAATGACGAAGACTTTCCTGTAAGTTTAGGAAAAAGAAAAAAGAAAAGTTTTTCATTTATTACTTATGATAAAAGTAATAAATAATCAAGACTTCACTGTAATTCATATACATAAGGAAAATTGACGAACAGAAAAAATATAGTACAAGGATAAATGAGTTAGCAATGGGTCACCAATCATTGCCAAGGTTTATATAATGATAATAAAAGGAAATGAGAATTTATTATTCTACA